GGACACCCTTGGCGAATGCCACGAGAGATCGAAATCCACAGAATCGCGCGCCGCTCAGCGAGATCACGCAATGGTTGTTCCAGTGCAAGCTCTGCGTGAAGTTCCTCAACCACGCAGGCCAGCCGAGGGCGGCGAAGAAAGCGCGCAGGAGCTCATGCTCGATCGACGGGAACGCCGCTGCGAAGTCGAAGAAGAAGGTGTACGCCCCCTCCTCCCGCGTGGCGGCTTCCAGCATGGCCTCGTCGATGTCCAATATGTTCGAGATCATCGACCGCCCAGGCAAGAAACCCTTTTGCACCAGCGTGACACGTTCGGCGAGAGCGGGCTCGACAGCCAGCCGACGCGCGCTTGCCAGCGAACGATTGGAAGTGTTCGTTATGTTGAGAGGTCTCACCCCGCCCGACTCATAGAGGCCCTGCCCCTGCTCGGACTGCCCGGCCGCCTTCTTTGCAAGGAAGATCAACGGGCTCTCGTTGAACGACGGGCAGTCTTGCGCTAGCCGCGATAGAGCGTCCTCGGCGCAGCAATCCTGGAAAGCCTCGCGCATCGCGTCTACAGCCAACTCTCCAAGGCAGCGCCAGGCCGAGTGCGGGATTCCATTGGGGCCCGACGCAGAATACCCCGACAGAGGTGATAGCGCGCTGTATACGCCGCCGTCTCGGTCGGACACGAAGCAGCTCGGAGTGCGATGGAGCCCAGCCCCCTGCAGGGACAAGGCCGGTCGGTTGCTCTCCCGTCGTTCCGACGCGATTCTCGGAGTCCTCGCGCAAACACTCCTGGAGCAAATCCGCATCGATGCCGTGAGCCCTGAAGACTGCGGCCCAGCGGCTACAGCGCGGCCAGCATCTCCTCTGGATTCGCTGCGTGGGCGCCGTCGCCTAGCAGCAGCGCTTGCAAGGCAGACCCCCGCCCAGGGGCGAGTCGACAGGGGCGAGTCGATAGAGAAGACGACTGGCCTTGTGTTTCGCCTGCGCCGCTCTGGCTTGCTCCCCTGCCTTCTCCAACTCTCTGGCCCTGGTGAGATCTTCCACGCCCTGCTGTCTGGGTCTGGCTAGTTCGACCGCGTGGTCGCGAACAAACTTGAGCCCCCCGCCCACGTTGCCGCCGAACTCATACGGATTGGGCATAAGTGCAGCAAGATGAGGGTAGCGTTGCAGGCAAATTGAAATCTCCCCCACGGCCTCGGCCTCGGCGGCCCACAAGAACTTCATCGTCACCCCGAGCTTTGTCTCGATCGAAGTTACGGCCCCGTGCCCGCTCTCCTCTCTCTGCAGATTAGCCGCAACAGCCGTGATGTCATTTTCCAGACTATGTAACCAGCGCAAGCCTGAGGCCAGCGGCTGTTCCTTGCAGCGGATCCGGAATTCCAGCGCTGTCCGGCGCGCAAAGTCTGGGTGCTCGACAGCAGTGTCGGAGACCCCACGGCACTTAGCAGGTAGGCGATGTGGCGCACGACGGGCAAAGAGAACTGCACGGCGGTGTGAAAGACCCGGACGCCACTCCAAGGCCACGGCACGAACCTCGCGATCAAGCTGTTCACAAAGATGGCTATTGCAGTATATCCGGTCGAGCCGCCCTCTGGACGATGCTGACCCGTGGGTCATGTCGGGCTGATGCATCTCGTGCAGCCCGAATGGCTGGCCCAGAGTGGTCTGAAAGTGTCGTTCTTCCCGGCGGTCCCGCCCACCAGTGGCTTCTCCTGTGGTGGTGGCTCGTCTGTCCATGCGCTGCGGCACGTAATTGAAATCACCTCCCAGAATCGTCAGCCGCCGCTCCGACGGGGCCAGAAATCCCGCAATACGGAGCCGAAGACGCTCGCGGAACGCTGGAAAAGAGGTGCATAAATGCAGCTCGTCCGGCAAGGCTCCGTAGCAGTCGGCTTCCGTCACCTCGTGACCTGTGTGGAAGTATGTCACCACGATGTCCAGGTCGCCCTGCCGACCCTGCAGAGAAAGGGCAGCGGTTCGGCCGGGCCTGATGACCGTCCACACAGGTGGCTTCGAGAACTGCTGGAGGAAGGCTTCCTTCAGAACGATGCCCACCCCGGCCTGCGCGGCAGTAGCCCCCGCGGACCACCATGCCTGGCAGCCTGGCGGCGGCCGCCAAACTCTATGCCCTCCCTCCGTGCCATGCGCCTCCGAAAGCAGCACCCCGTCGCTGCGACTCAACAACGAGAGAAAATAACGAGTCTTTGCCTCGTGCTGCCAAGCCTCCGCTGCGAAGAAGGCCTGAGCGTTCCATACGGTCAGGCACACATCACCACGAAACGGCCCTTGCGGCAAGGCTGGCGGACGCGTGTCCCCAGACCGAGCGTCAACGTCACTCGTGCGAGGCAAGGTGAGGGCCGGCAGCGGCAAGCGCGTCGGCGGCAGCATGCCCAGAGCTCGTAACAGCCGATTCCGGCGGTAGATGCTCACTGGGACGTCCTCTCCTCCAGACCAATGCCGCGGCACCAAATCCAGAGCTCCCCATTGCAAAGCTGGCAGTGGCGGTACAAGTCGGCGCACTGCGCCCCCCGCCCCACGCGGAGGCTCAAAATCCTGAGTTCCAACTCCTCCCCTCCGCTCCCCAATCGCGGCAGGATGAAGAGGAGGGGAATAGGGCCCGGCGCGGACCCTGCCAATCGGCACCACCGGGGTGGAACGGAGCGACGGGACGACGTCGAAGCGCCAGCCCTCCTCGCCAGATTCCGTCACGATGTGAATTCCGGCATGCATTGGTATGGCGTCGCGGGAGCGGGGAGCCCTCAGGCCCGCCCCCGCCGGCCGTTTCCCCCCGCGCCTCCTCGACGTCGTTGCTGACGGCGATGCTCACCAAGTCCTGGCCCACATGCAGCGTCTGCCCGTCGAGCACGGCGTAAACTTTGCGCACGTCGTCGCGTGAACCCAGGAGCAAGCGCACGCGACCTGGAGGGTGCATCGCGTCCTGCGTGGCTAAGTGGATGCACTCCCCCAGGCGGGCCTCCCGGCCGGAGTCCGTCTCCTGTAGCTGCAAGCCCGCAGTCTGGATCAAATGATCATCAAACGACGTACCACTGCTCCGTCCTCCCGCCCCACCTCGCCCAAAATGGACACGTCCGTAAGGAAGTCGCGATGGACGTTGCTGTCCTGGCCCTCGCGACGAGCGGTCGCGATAGCCTGTGGAACAGCCGACGTATGGGCGACAGTGCGCCCTCCGCACCAAGTAGGCTTTCGTTTCAGACGCGCCCCAACATCCGTGGAGTCTTCCTGGCACGTGGCATCCATTGTCGAAGTCCACGTTTCCGCCGACGCTGACGTGAAAACCAAGAATCGGCCCCGGTCCAAAAGCATCATCTGGGAACAGAGACGCCAATAGTGATGCCAACTCTGGGACCCTCCCGTCTCGAGCACAAGGGCGTCGGGTGCTGCGAACATGGTGATCATGCCGTAACAGGCGTCAGCCGGCAACCAGCTGCTGCGGAGCCGCTCCAAGATCAAGAGCACGCCCAGGTCTGGGAGCGACTCCAGAAAGAGGACCTCGAGGTGCAAGCGCGGCCTCTCTGGAAGGCTCAGGGGGCTCTTCGCCTGCGGCCGGCAGAGTACGCCCACGGAGGTGAGCTCCATCAGCAAACGAGGTAAAGACTCGGCCGGTATATCCATGTGGACCGCGCGGACCGCGGCGAGCTGCAGGAGAGGGGCTGCCGGCCTCAAGAGTTGAGGCACTGCCCGCGGGCCCTCGGGGCGCAGCGTGAAGATGGCTAAACCAGCTTTTACATGCCGGGGACCGCCCTGGCCAGGCAGGATCATCTCCAGGGAGGCATTCACCACCTGGAAGCAGCGGAGAAGCGAGGCCCACCTTGCCCCCAGCAGGGGGTGCCACCATAGATCCATGACCCCTGACATCGACGACATGCCCGGAAGAAGCGGCACTGGCGCCACCATCCTCACGGAAAGTGGCCGTTGCGCGGTGTCCGCAATCCGCAGCCCTGCGGCTAGGCAGCGGGTGAGGGCGTTGGTATCCGAGGGAGCCCACACCACGATACGTTGACCAGCAACTTCCTGCCAGAAGCGGGCGTCCCCCTTCTCGGAGAACGTAGCGATGTCCCGGGACGCGCGAAGCACCTGGGTCGCAAAGTCGGGCTGCAGGGCCTTCACGACGCCAAGAATGTCCGACCACTGCGTGTAGAGGAGCTCGTCGTCCCCAGGGGCGCTGTCCCGGAGAAGTTGGCACGCAGCCTCGCCCAGCTCCATGTGCAAGGGCAGGCGGCCAACCTTGAGTTTCCTGCGGGCCTTTTGGATGGCGGGTAGCTCGTCCTGGCAATGCCGCACAGCACAGTCCAACGACTCGATGAAGTGCGCCACGCGCTGGAGGTCCTCAGCCGCCCAAGTCGCGGGAGTCGCCAAACTTCCCAGCAGGCGTGCCGTCTGGGCGCGTGCGGCCAGCATCTCCGGCGTGGGGTCCGGGCCCTCGTACATGGCCAGCCCGAGCCGTCGCCAAGGGTCTGGCGTGTCAACGTCGTATGCCAGCCTCTCGAAGATCCGTTGGAGAGCTGGCCAGTCCGCGGGGTAGTCTACGATCAACTGCGCTGGGGCGGGGGCGATCAGCTGCCCGGCGCGCACCAGGTCAAAGTGCTGCAGCACCTCCCGCTGCACGAACTCCTATAACAATTCTCTGGGCAGGCGCACCGTCGGAGTGACGACCGCGACCGTCGAGCCCGGGGCCGCAGCAGCTGCCGGAGGAGCCAGCCCATGGTATCGAGAGGATATCTGCGCGAATAGAGAGGATTTCTACGGCATGGTAATGTATGGGAGGGAGGGATAGGACGTCAGATATGACGCGAGCGCACCCAGCTTGTCCTCCCCCCCTCCTCCTTTTCCCACCCCTCCTCTTCCACCTCTTTCCTCCTCCTCCTCATCATCATCCCCCTCGTCTTCCAACTCCTTCCTCCTCCTCCGCTTCCTGCTCTTCCCCCTCGTCGTCGAGCTGGCCTGCGCCCTCCAGTCTTCCTCCTGCGCCCTTCTCCTCCCGCCCCGTGTCTCCAGCTCGGCGTCGGTCCAGTCGGCGAGGTGGTTGACAGAGGCCACCTCGAGGGGTGGGGGGCCTCCCTGCAGCCACGGGTCCACACGGCCGAGGCTCTCCCAAGCAGAGAACGGCGAGGGTGAGCGGGAGGAGGAGGACGAGGAGGAGGAGAGGGAGGAGGAGGAGGAGCAATAGGAGGAGAAGGATGAGGAGGAGGAAGAAGAGGAGGAGGAGGAGGAGGAGGAGGAGGAGCGGGATGAGGATCACTGACTAAGCCTCCAGGTCTACGAACAAGCAGACCGCCAGTTGACAGTCCTTCTGGGTCGCAAGCTTTGTTGTAGGGAACCACCTTCTGCTTCGGGAAAGCCCCCTCCAGCAGCCCATACGGGAGATGCGGGACGATAGCAAGGGCAGGCCCTCTATCAGCCCACATGGCTCTTTCCACGACGCGCCACCCATGGAGTAGCCTCTCACGCACCAGCCAGCCTTGCGAATCAGACTCGCGCGGCCGCTCGAAACGTGAAGCGGGGCCATGAAGGAGAAGGAAGGACGCAGAGCAGATCGTATGCATGGTGCTGGCCAAGCTTTCTGGACACGAACCCGAGCCCACCCAACAGGAGACCTTGGGGCTGCATCGAAGAAGATTCTGGGGGGCCAGAGGCGGAGGAGTAGCAGGAGGAGGGGGAGAGAGAGAGGGAGAAGGGGCAGAAGAGAAGAATGACGAGGATGAGCAGTGAAAGGAGGATATCTAGGAGGACAAGGGGGAGATGGATAATGCTGATGATGACTGCGATGATGCTGCTGATGATGCTGCTGCTGATGATGATGGTGCTGATTATGACGATTCTGATGCTGATGGTGATGCTGCTGCTGATGATTATGGAGATGATGATGATGCTGATGATGATGCCGGCGATGATGGAGACTACGATGGCGATGAACATGACAATGATGCTGATGTGGATGTTGTTGATGTTGTTCATGATGGTGGTGATGATGCTGACGACGATGATGATGCTGATAATGATGATGATGCTGATGATGATGATGATGATGGATGCTGGTGATAATGACGATGCTGATCAGATCAATTCAGAACCCATGGGGGCTGCAAGGGTCTCCTATCCAGCGACAGCCCCACGGACTGGGCTACACCTGAGCTCAAGCTTGCAATGTATAGCTGTGCCGCCATCGCAGCTCGCTTCACGTGATAAACATGATGCTGCTGCTGCTGATGATGATGGTGATGGTGATGGTGATGATGCTGATGATGAGGATGATTAAGGTGATGATGCTGATGATGATGACGACGATGATGATGACGACGACGACGACGAAGACGACGATGATGATGATGATGATGATGATGATGATGATGATGATGATGATGACGACGACGAGGATGACGACGATGATGATGCTGCTGATGATGATGATTATGATGACGATGATGGTGGCAACAAAAGACCACGACGTCGCCGTCGTCGCCCTCGCCCTCTTCCAGGACCTCGCCCTCGCCTTGAACTTCATCGCCATCTGTGTCTCGGGGCCTCGGAATCGTCCCTGGGACCTGGCCTGGGGTGCGCTTCAAGCCAGAACTTCAGGGCCGATCCGGCCGTGGCGGCGAGGGCGCCCCAGCAGGCCCAAAAATGAAAAACCTCGCCTACAAACCTCCACCCTCGATTCGCGAACCTCGTCGCCGTCGCCGTCGCCGTCGCGGTCGTCGCCGTCGCCGTCGCCGCAGCCGCTGTCGTCGTCGTCATCGTCGTCGTCGCCGTCATCGTCGTCGTCGTCGTCGTCGTCGTCGTCGCCGTCGAGGTCGCTATCGTCGGCGCCCAGGGCGGCGCAAAGCGGCGCGGCCGGTGGGTCCGCCCAGAGCGGGCGCTCGGTCTCGCAGTTGTGCCTCCTGACGGCCTCCTTGGCCTTCGAGAAGAGCCCCGCGCGCAAGGAGTACTCCTCGTCCTCGCCAGTTGTCGTCATCGTCAGCGTCCTTGGCCTTCATCGTCGTCGTCCTCAGCGATGTCGTCGTCGCCGTTATCGTCGTCGTCCTCAGCATTGTCGTGTTTTTAACTTTGGTCGTCAGCGTCGACACTGTCATCAGCGTCGTCGTCGTCGTCGCTGTCGTCGCTGTCGTCGTCGTCGAAAGCGTCGTCGTTAGCGATGTAATCGTCGGAGGAGAAATGAAGATAACTAAGGGGGAGGGTTCAGGAGCAGGGAGGAGGAGAGAAGAGGACAACGATGGGGGCGAAACAAGAAACGAAAGCAGCAGGAGAAGGAGCAAGGAGGGAAGAGGCGGAGGAGGAGCAGGAGGAAACTGATCACAGTAACCACAGGATGTGTCAACGATACCGTAATACACGCATGAGCCCCTACACGCTTTCTTTGGCACTCTGGGAAGCGCCTCTCGAAACATTAATACCTGGGCTCTGCGCTGGCACGGGTGGAAAGTGGAACACCTTTTGCCGCAACAAGCAGGATCCAAGGAAACGATGGTTGCGCCAACAACTGAATCGAATGCGAGCCACTCGAGAGGCCGGCGGCGAGAGGGAACTATCTCCGACGGCACACACACACATCAAGCAACAAGCCAGGATTAGAAGGTAAAGGGCAGGGCGGGCAGGTCACATGACTATAGAGGGCACCTGTCGTATCCAATGCCTCCCCGTTCCCTCTACACTGAGCAGGTAAACGCATCGAGATTCTCAATGCCTGGGCGCTGCGCTGGCACGGGTAGAGAACGGAACACCTTTTGCCACAGCAAGCAGGACCCAAGGAAACGATGGTTGCGCCAACAAGTGAATCGAATGCGAGCCACTCGAGAGGCCGGCGGCGAGAGGCGACGGCAATCGGAGCTGTCTCCGACGGCACACACACATCAAGCAACAGGCCCATAGCCCATACCCTGGAACGTGATACACAGGGCAGGGTGGGCGGGCTCACAAATACAGGCGTCAGCCGTTTGAATGCTCATCTACGACTTCGAGTACGTCGGCGCCATCAGCGAAGCTGGAGCAGCTGCGGCAGGCGGTGCAACAGCGACGTGCCTCGGCGCCGCTGCTGGCCCGTCATCTTCCGAGTCTGCCGCAGGACGCGCCCACCCGTCGCGTAGTTCTTCACACTGGCCTTCGCCCCCCAGCGGCTCCGCTCCTGCACCTCTGCCAGCGAGCGGTGGCGGCCGAGCGCGTCCTCGCTCGGGCCGCCGTGGCGGAGCATGTGCGGCGTGAGGCACAGCTCCGACAGGCCAGCGTCGGCGGCGGCCTTCCTGAAGAGGCGCTCGAGCTTCGCGAGCGCCAGGTTCGGGAAGAGCTTCGAGGACCCCGCCGCGCCTGCAGCGGCCAGCAGAGTCTCCATCAACTTTCGGAGGTGCGTGCGGCCCGCCGCCGCGGAGACCTGGTCGTGGATCAACGCGGCGTCGTCGTACTTGCCCGTCTTCGCGGGCGGCGTGGTCTGGCCCCCGTCGGGCGAACGAGCTAGAGCAGGGGCGATGGTGATCGCCAGCGGGCCCCGCGCGGATGCGTCGGCGACGTCGGCGCGTCGGATGTTGAGCGCCTCCGAAGGCCGGAAGTACCCGTCCTGCATCAGCACCGCCGCCCGAGCTGCCGCCGACCCGTCGTCGCCCTGCTTCGCCCGCTGCTCCGCGGTGAGGGCGAGGGCGATCCGCGGGCAGGGATCGCGCGCCACCTCCGGCTCCTCCTTGCGCCATCCCTGGAGGGCGCGCTTAGCACGAGGCAAGACGCCCTTGCCGCCGAAGCTGAGGTTGAAGCTGAACGCGACCGCCGCCAGCATCATGGGACCCGAGCTGACCGCCTCGCCGTCGAAGTAGAGCTCCGTCACGAACGCCTCCAAGATCTCGTCGAGCTTCCCGAGGTCGGTGGGCGGCGCGCGGCCGTGAGAACGCGCGGCGCGACGGCGCCGGCTCTCGTAGACGACGGCGGTCCTGGCCGAGACGCTCTTGGTCTTCAGGTGGTGCTGGCGCGAGGCTGCTGCCTTGAATTTGGCAGGAGCTGCCTTCGCCGCGGCTCGCCGCTTGCCGGCGCGGGCGGCGGCCTTCGGGCGTCGCGTGGCCTGCGGTCGCGCCTTGGCCGAGCGAGGGCGCCCGCGGCGCGACCCAGCGGTGGTCGCGGCCTCCCCAGGAGCGGGCTCCCAAGGGCCACTCTTGGACTCCGTCGGCTGGAAGCGGGTCGAGCCGAGGTCCGGAGGTGGCAGCGTCGACTCCAGCGGCCCGCAGTAGCGCAGCGTGCCACTTGCCGCGTCCCACTGCATAGCCGTCCTCGGCTGCGCCGAGCCGCGAGCCGCGGGGCGCCGCGACGTCGGCGATCGCAGCCCAGGCGCGGCACAGGCCCGGCGGATAGGCCCCCGCGAGGGTCGCGCGCCAAGCCGCTCGAGCCAGCGGGGCCGCGGTCGGAGGGGCCGAGGACGCCGAAGTGCAGGGACTGGGCCGAGGAGTGACGTAGACTTTCCCTTGCAAGACGTCGTGATAGTGGCATCCCCGACGACGCCGATGCAACTGACTGAGGCCCGGGAGCGTATCCAAGAGACCAGTGGGCTTTCGATAGTGAGCACCAAATTCGCACGTGCTCGACAAAGACGGACTGAGGCAACCTGAGAAGCGGGCGAATGAGGTCATGTTCCCACAAACCCGAGCGAAGCGGGTTCTCGATCGTCCAAAAGATGCCGAGCCGCTGGCACAAACCGACCAGCCTTCGGGCAACGCGAACGTCCCGCGTGGCGCGCAGAGCACCGGCTGGAGAGAGAGAGGACCGTGACGTGCTGTGCTTCTGGTCGTGCAAGGCGTCCCAAGATGCACCCACCAGATAATTCCATCCCGAAGCCAACCTTCAAAAACCCGAAGCGTCTTCCAGGAGCGCAGGTCGTAATAGGAGGCCCGCTGGAGGTCCATCGGGGGCAGCGCGCGGAGCCCAGAGCCCACCGGCGCCGATGATAGCCAGCTGGTGCCAGAGTAGACCTCCGAGAACGCCCGAGCTCGTCGTGTAGTGCGAGGCGTGCGTGGGAGAGGAGGGCGCCGCGACAGGCGCCGACGGGCGCCCGAAACCGGCTCGGAGGGCGGCAGCGCTAGGGCGCGCCGCCGGGACGGCAGCCACGGCCGCCTAGAAATGTAGAATACGTAATAGCTCCAACGCCTGAGGCGGCGGGGCGGGCGACGGCGCGAGCGGGCCTGGGCCCCCCGGCGGGGGGCCTGCGTCGTGGTCCAGCGGGCGCCCAGAAGCCCAAGCGCTGCGGCGCCCCGCCGGCGGCGCCTCCAGCGCGCAGCAGCGGGAACAGCAGCAGGACCTCGCGGGGCGCGGGCGCGGGCCACGGCGCCCCCTCGCGATCCCCCTCGAAGGCGAGGGGGGGCGGTCGGCTCCACTCGGCCGAGTCGAGGGCCAAGCGGCAGGCCCGAATATCCCCCAGGATAATCTCCCCCAGGGCGACCTCCCCGCGATCAGCCGCGCGGGAGTCGTAGTCCGCGCAGTTTCGGGCGCTCTCGGTGCACCTCAGGTGCCAAGTGATCTCGGCGCCGATTGCGAGGGCCGCCGCCTGGCGCGCCAGAAGCCGCGGCCAGAAATCCGAGGCGCGGCCCTTCATGAACGCCAGTAGCGCGCTCAGGCTGTCGGCGAGCCCGAGTAGCCGCATGCCGTGCGCGGCGGGGCGGCGAGCGGCCCGCCGCAGCTGCATCAGCGCGACGCGCGCCTCCTCCAGGTGGATGGCGTTGTGGTAGGCCCAGCCGCCCTTCGCGATGTTCCGCCAGCGCTCGGGGCGAGTCCAGATGTCGTCCAACGCGTGGAAAGCGTCCGAGGCCTCGACCACGTGGCAGGGCGCCCGGCGCCGGCGAGGCCAGGGCGGGAGCGCCGAGCGGGGCGGGCCCGACTGCCCCGCGATGCCCGCGATGTCCAGGCCGAGCGTCCCGAACGCGGCGGCCAGGTGCGGGGCGTGCGCCGCGATGCGGTCGCCGTCGCCGGGCGCCTCCGCGAGGTTGACCTCCTCCGTCTTGAACCTCCAGCGCTCGCGCAGGCGGTCGGCGCCCAGGATGTCCGGGGGCGCCGCCCGCGTGTCGGAGAGCGAGTAGCCGAAGGTCGAGCTGTCCCCCGAGAACACCACGGGCGCGCGCGGCGCCGCCAGATCCACGTCAACCAGCTTCACGAGGCCCTTCAGGACGCACAACTCGGTGTCCAGGGCGTCGTTGAACCAGCCCCATTCGCGTCGAACATAGCGCTGCAGGAAGCGGTGGCAGTGGTCCAGGGCGGACAGGCCCCACGACATCAAGCGGAAGTGGTTCACGAGGTGCCCGTCGACGCGCTCGAGACTGACGCCCGGCCAGCCGCCCTGCTGGAGCAGGCGCTCGATGGCCAGGTAGAGCCGCCAGGCGTGCCTCTCGGTCGGCAGCAGCTGGAGCTGGGATCCGCCCAGGAAGCGCAGGCCCACAACGGTGAGGTCGGTCTGGGCGGGCTCGATGTCGTGCACGATGAAGCCCATCTCCTCCAGTCGCGCGAGGCAGCGGTCCAGGCCGCGCTGCGCGTCGTTGTCGACGCGCACCGAGAGCGCGGGGTGCCCGGGGGCGACCGAGGGCGCGGGCGCGCCCTCGCGCAGCAGGCCGCCCAGCGGTAGCAGGGGCCGACCTGGGGCATGGGCGAGCGGGCCCGCCGCCGCAAACGCGGCGTCCTCCATGATCGAGTGGCAGAAGTAGAGCGCCCAGCTGAAGCCCATGCAGAGCACCTCCATCACGAAGTACAGGAAACGCGCGGGACGTCTTCGGCAGCGATGTGGAAGTCAGCGGCTCCAGAGCCACACGGGCAAGCAGGCGCGAGGTTGAACCTCGCGAATGATTTGGTGAGCGGCGCGCCGAGCGCCGGAAGCAGATGCCCCCACCGAGTAGGGAAGCCGCTGGCCCCAAAGAGGGCCAGCGGATCGGTGGGGATGAGATGACGGGAAACCAGCTCCATAAGCTGAACAGAAAACCGATC